AGAGTGGGCTGTTCGTTGGCTTTGCAGGCCCTGGGAGATTTTGATAGCTGCTTCAGCAGTTGGCTCTCGTGAGGTTGCCCTTGGGAGCCATCCCCTTGACAGCTAGGACCAGTGTAGACTGGGAAGGATAGAAGGAAAATGCATTGATGGCTATGCGCTTTCATGGCTCTGAAGTATCCCCTTTGACGGCCTGAATTCCAAAAGTGCCCAAAACTTGGTATTCCCAGCTCTTGAACTGTTCGTGGAAAGCCCTAGTCTTTTGGCTCTTAATTTGCTGGGACCCAGACTCTTGTGTATCGCCCAGTGCAGTGCTGCTATCTGTCAAGCGCCGGTATTGCAGACTCTACCAGCCTGAGACTTGAGCGGGCGGCCGGGGCTGCGGCAGGGCTGGGCTGCTCACTCTGCGCTGGAGCCGGTCGTGGAGCTGGCAGCTGCCCGGCTGTGTGCCTGGGGTGTGATCGGGACAAAATGGGCCCACTGAAGTCTTCCAGAGCTACCGCAGCTCTGGGCAAGTGAGGCAAGAAATGGTAGTGCATGACCTATCAGGGACATAATGAATGGAAGGGAAAACCTGTCCTGTAGGACTGTAGAGTTCTGCGCTCGAAAGCCGAGGTGTGCTGTAGTGTCATTACTGTCCTGTCTTGCAAAGCTACAGTGCAATTACGGGGAAAAGTCTGGTCCCAGCTACCAGCAATCAGTCTGGAGCAGCGTGCCAGGTGCTTACAGTCACTGGCCTCTGCTCTTCTGCTCTTTGTGTCGAAGCGGACTCAGCCGCCGGGAGCTCTCAGCCGGTGGCTCCCAGCTGCAGGGAAGCAGACAGGGAGAGGGCAGGCAGTCCCTGTGCGTGGGATCGCAGCCAAGGGCAGTGCCCGTGGGGCATTCGCTCTTTGTGCGACTGGTACAAGCTCGGGAGTTACTGTCCTGGACTTGCCGTGTTTGCCCCATGCCCCGAGGAGGGAGGGGAATGAGCGAGGGGACGTGGGTGGGAGAGGGCAGTGTTGATGCTGCCTTTGGACCCGAGTCTTCCACCAGAGATGGCTTTGAAACTGTCTCTGGTAATTGCTGCGCTGGCCTGTGCGGATGTGGAGACAAAAGCCCTGGGGGCTGGCACCGCTCCAGCCTGCGGCACGGGGAAGAGAGATAACTGTCTGCTGTCGCAGCCCTCGCCGTGACATTGATGCATGTCCAGGCCGGCGGAGCAGCAGGGAAGCCGGGCTGCTTCTCCATGTCTCTGCCTCCACACGGGCCTGTCTCTGCCTGCCTGCCTGCCTGCCTGCCTGCCTGCCTCCTCCGAGGGGGCCGCTGGCAGCGAGGCAGCGGCTGGGGTTTGCTAGGGGAGTCGTGCAACGGCCTCGTGGACACGAGCGGCGGGGCAGGCCTCGGCGCTGACTCAGCCATGGCGTTTTTAGGCTGCCCAGGAATAGCTCTCAGCTGCTCCAGCCTTTCCTAAACAGAGCGTGAGGGAGCTTCAGGCAGATGGAC